TTCAGAGGGTATCTCAGGCACTTTATGCTATGCAGACATATATAATATAGTGCAATAATGTACTTGAGCTATGATAGAATGTGATTTGGCAGGAACTATGACAAGTGTGATTGCTTGCGATTATGGATTAACAGTCCTGGTTTTGCGCTGTTGTTGGGTTTTGGGATGGTGCTTGCTAATATGGTGTAGATTATTTCTTTTTATCATTATTAATATGTATTGTGCAATGGTGGAGAGGGTGGGAAAAGGTTCGGGGGTTCTGTCATACAATATCTGGAATAAAATTGAGTCTTGATGGCTTATGTATTCCAAGGCACGGGTGTAGGTGGCGCCAAATGCTGGAAATATTTTGTTGAGCCTACAACTATCTTAGAATTTCGTGGTTCCGTGATGTTAGGATATTGTTGTGCTTCAAGTTGCAGGATTCCCTTCATATTAGAACACTGGAGATGGGAATCCCCAATGACTGTCTTCCTCAACCTTCATGTACCAGTTCATTGATATCGCCAACTGTCTGGCGCCATCTCTAAAAACATATTCTCAGAAGCTTGGACACTACTGGAACTGCCACAGCCCCGGGGACTAGCAGACACACTCTTTACCGGTATCATAGTAACAATTCTTAAGAAGCCTTTTCAAGAAAATACAGCATGTTTTCAAGGAGATCAATGGTGAAAAGTGGTTTGACTGTAAATGGCCAACTTTGCAGAGGAAGCCCATACAGTTTATATAAAATTCTGGATTCCAGGTTCTTGTTTCAAATGAAAATGAACAAAAAAAAGTTTTTATTGCTATGTTACCCGCCGATCGCGAACCACACCCCTAAGGGTATGGCCCAGAGTCGGATGCTGCCACCTCAATCTCCCAGTTCCCATAGGGCAGGTTCTGTTCCTCTCCCTGCCCCACGTGATGGATCGTTCAACCATAACTCATTTCTGAGTCGGAATTGAACTCCCGGGCTCCCGCTAAGTGCACAGGAAGTTAATTGGTTCTTGACATATTAACCACTGCGCCAGCTGGGTGTTTCACAAAAGATTACCCCCGGAATAAATACTTATCCAACCAGCAGGTATATTCAGATTATTTCTATGAGGGTTAAATATTATTATTATTAAAATTTAATTATTTCTTTAATACTATACTAAATCACACGCTTCCTTGAGAGAGGAGAGACCACAAACCTTGATCACTGATGTCTAACAACAAAATTCCTCTAAGTGAAGCAATCCAGAGCATTCCCACCCAACTCCAACTCACTTCATAATTCAACACTCATAAAGCCCTCCCTCCCTCACCCACGCTAGAGAATTTTTTAGTCTTCCATGCTAACCAGAATTATAGGAATATCCTATCATCCTGTCCATCCCTGGCAATGCAGAATACTGAAAGAGCATACCCCTCCTGAACAAAGTCAGCCTTTATTGTCGAACCCAACAGACCACATGCTCACAAACTACAATATCCCCCGCCTAAGGGTATAACACAAGAGTTTATATTGGTTAAAAACAGAGTGGAGTTGGAAAGGCGGCCAAACCGGTGTCGATCGGCCACGCACTAAGGCGGCCAGCGAGGAATGTCTCTATTTCCAAATCAGACTACCTCCCCGCCGTGCAGAAACCCAGGAAATGACCGCCATCCCTGCTGCTACCGCCAGCTTTCCGCCGAACCTCCCTCACGTGCGCGGGCTCCCTTGGTTGGAGCTCCTAAGTATAAATCCAGTCAACACTCACATCTGGAGGGAAACTCCAACGCCACCAATACCCTTCTATGGAAACAAAAAGTTGGCCGAGCTTCTCCCACAATGTCATCTCTTCGTTCGACAAATGAGATTGACTTTCTAATGGCCAGGGCGTTGGGGTATGCATTTGACCTAAACGCACTCCTCCTACGAACCGCTACTTTCCTGACATTTTTGTCTCTACCCATCATGGCCGTAATTCATACCTTATCCTCGGAGTATGGTAGAAGATTGCTATACTTCGTGGCAGGGCGGGGAGGCAGGGAGAGAATCAAGGGCCTGTTAGAGAGATGGATCGATCAAGCCATTAACGGTAGATACCACCCCAAGCACACATCTGTACGTCTGCTATGCGAAGCAGTAAGCGACCGCAAAGTGACCGCCGTTCACACACTGATGCTCGCCGGGCTCCACCACAATGCGCTCAATACCGCTGAACAGACACGGGTAAATATTGAGGCAGGTTTGGGAAACGTGGCAACTGTTTGCGCGCTGTTGGAGATTTCTATGGCAAACGCCGAACTCCGCCATAGGGCCAATTTGAAACCTCTGCATGTGGAGGTGGTATGGACTCTTCTGGGAGGCCCGAGGGTTGTTAACAATTTATGAGCACGTTCGCACAATTCCACTACGCTTCGTAGGGCAATGTGCGGATCTCGAGTGAATGTCGTATGGGCGCTCCTGGGGAGTGAGGAAATCGACCTCTACTTAGTGACCCGCTCCTGCCTCTCACAAGCCTCTACCTTGAGGAACCATCCTTGTACACTCTTACACTTTGCTGAAGCTGGGGGTAGAAAGGCAATTGTGATGACTCTAACTAGGGAGGGTAGGGTAAATATTATCCGACCAACCCACAGCATCGCACGCTACTACATCTCGCCATGAAAAAACCAGAATAAAAACTGTCTCCGCTAAAAGTAGCCAATTAGGAGAGGGAAAACCCCGGATCAATTGAACACTGCTCTACATCAACAGTCCCCCCCCCCCCCCTTAAACCTGACAGATTATACTGTTCAGTACGGGCTCCTTTTATCAGTTTGCTCAGAGTGCTTCAGTTCACCCATGTAACTGATCCTATCCACACAGAGCTCGCTTACGCCCAGCCCCTGGGGGGGCCACAGGGTTAGGTTCGGTTGACAAACAAACAAGCAAACATTCACCACAGAGTTCCGGCAGGTACGATGGAGCTAACTCAGGAGGAATGGACTACCGTGCTGAACTCGAGGAAGCTACGGGATATTGGAAAAGGACGGAAGGGGATGGATGAAAGAGAACGTATCCGGGAGGCGATGGGAGATGGTTTGGGAAGGGTCCGGAGGCCTGCTAGGACCTACAGGACACCAAGCAGAACAATTAGGCGACAGGATAATGTACCCGCACATGACACTGGTCCGGGAAGGGAGGGTAGGATGGATGTCGTCTTGGAGTCACCACCGTCACCAAAATCTCTTGGTGGGCCTCAACTGCAACGGAATCTCTCTGTATCCTTTGGGCAGGATGATGTTTCTATGGGTGGGTCCCTGGTGGAGGACTTGGAAAGTGATTGTGGAAGCGAGTTGACTCCCGGTGCTGAGGGTGGTGTTGATACACCTACTCCGAGTAGCCTAGAGAAGCGAGGAAGTGGAATTAGTTGGGCGGATCAGGTAGAAGCAGAGGAGGCACAGGGTAGAGGCCGGTCTAAGCGGGCACGGTCAAAGGAGGGAGCTCTGACTGGAATGAATATCAGCCGGTGGGCCCCTGCTGGGGTGCCAAGGGGACCACAGTCAGTGGTGGAGCAGGAGGTGATGGATTTGATAAGGGAGTTGAAAGAGAGAGACCGGAAGAGGGAGGAGGAGCTCAAGGGGCTACAGGTGCAGCTACAGAAGCTGACAACTGCTGTGAGTGAACTTACAGCGATAGTGGCAGGTCAGGCATTACCTGCACATAACTGTGGGCCAGCGGATGTGGGCTGTGGCTCTAAGTTGCCAGTGTTGCGCCAGGGTGATGCAGGGACTCTAGGGAATAGGGGGGGACAGGAGAGGGCATCATGGGCTGGAATAGCAGCTGCAGCTGGCGGAGCATATGCACCTCCGGGAAGCAGAAAGCTATTAGAGATGAAGGCGGAGAACGAGAGGTTGTTGAGAGAGGAGAGGCGCAGTAAGCGGGAGGTAATAATTGCACTAGCAGGGAGTACGAGGGCAACCGACGAGGAAGTTCAGAGGGTTCATGAGGAGCTGGATAAGGAGACTCAGAGTGGTGGTGGAAGTATAATACGGTCCGTATGCCGAGGCCGGAACGAGTCTGGTGCTCAGAAGTTGATAGTTACTGCACTGGATGCTAGTGGTGCTGCAAGGCTACAGCAGATGGGTGGTACGATAGATACTACTTTGAGGGGGGTAGGACTGGAGGTGGAAGGGGTAGCATTGGTTGAGCGGTGGGCTGGGATTGTGATTTATGGGGTTGATCGAAAGTGGGATGGATCCATGACGGAATTGAGGAAGACATTAGAGGTTGAAAATAGGATCAAGGTTATGAAGGAATGGCGGTGGTTGGGTGTGAAGGCTAATGGGGATGAGCCATATGACTCTCTGGTGGTCCATATCTCTATGGAGTCAGAGCATGCGGCATTGATATCGCGTGGATTTGTCTCTATTGAAGGAAGTAGACTTGGACTTCGCAGGTTTAGGCCACGGGGTGAGGTTGTGCAATGCACAAAGTGTGCAGGATTGGGGCACTACTGGTACCAGTGTACAAGGCTTCCAAAATGCTACTTGTGTTCAGGTTCGCATGCTGGGTACCATCACCGTTGTATCAGCTGTGACATCAGACAAAGACTTTGTTCACACTATAAAGTAAAGTGTCCAAACTGTGGGGGTACTCATCCAGGTACTTGGCAAGGCTGTGTGGCATGGAAGAGGGCCAAGCAGGATGCACTCAAAACCTCAGGATTAGTTAGGGCCCACGAGCAACCAGAAAAGAAATCAACTAGTGCTCTGGTCAATCCAATATGACAGAACACATACGAATCCTTCAGGTGAACTGTAATAGGAGTACTAATTGCATGCAAGGAGCATTGGAGTCGAGCAGTGGAGCTGATGTGGTAGTGGTTCAGGAACCATGGGTGGGCGTGGTGGCTGGCGGGTGGATTACGGTGACACACCCAAGTTATTTTCTAATCATACGGGCTGGAGGAGGCAGATGGCCAAGGGTATGTACCTATGTTCGGAAGGATACGGGAGTGGCCTTTTGTGCTAGACCAACACTTTGGGTAGAGGATGATGCAATGATTGTGGACGTGGAAAAAGGAGGTCTCAAATTACGGGTGTGCAATATTTACAACTCAGGGCATGAGGTGCAGGGATGGGTGATGGATCGCTGGCCAGTAGGGCTTGCTCAAGAGGGTATGTTTCTTTTGTTAGGGGATTTTAATGTTCACCATGAGGTTTGGGACGCAGGCTGCAGGGCTGCGGATGCAAGGGGCATTGCTCTATTGGATACAATGGACCGCGAAAGACTCTGTTTACTAAATCAGCCGGGAGTTTGTACTTGGAGGCGGGGTAGTTCAGAGAGTACTCTGGACCTTGCATGGTGTAATGTGGATACCCACCAGATGGATGTGAGATGGGCAGTATACGAGAATGAGGATATTGGGTCTGACCATGAGGCAATAGCAGTTGATATCTTGGGACAGGCAGAGTGGGTGTCATCACCAATTCAGGAGAGTTATATAACTAAGGAGGCTACTGAGAAGGAGTGGGAGGAGTGTGTAAGGGCAGTGGAAGTAGTTGTTAGGGAACGGGAGGGAGAGTGGAATCAGGCATGTGAGGCTTGTGATGGGAGTAAGTTGGCTGATTTACTAGGAGCAGCGTTGATGGCTGGGATGATGGCTTTTAGGAGAAAGAAGATGCATTGGAGGTCGAAGGGATGGTGGGATAAGGAGCTGGGAATTCTGCGTGGCACAGCAACTCGGGCCCGAAGGGTCTGGAAGCAGTCAGTCCTGCAGCAAGACCGAGATGATGCATTGGGGTACTACAAGGTCTGTCGGAATACCTACTTTAGGGCTATAAGGACAAAGAAGAAAAAAATGTGGGAAGACTTTGTAGGAGAGCGAGGTAGGGAGGATTTGTGGCAGATCCTCCGAGTGGTTAAAGGAGTACGGACTACTAGATTACCTGAATTGGTAACCGTGCAGGGATCTGCTGTTTCCTTTGAAGAGAAGGAGTAGGCTCTTCGTCAGGAGCTTCTTCCTTGTGTACCACCTGATCGGGGGGCAGAGTTGGTAGAACAAGGAATCTTTGAAGATATCACAGTGGAAGAGCTTGAGTGGGCAGTCTTTTCACAGGCACCCCACAAAGCGCCAGGGGAGGATGGCATACCATTTCTGGTTATTCAGAGGTGCTGGAAAACTCTACGGGAGTAGATTGTTTCTGTGGCAAATGTTATAGTGGGACAGGGGGTTCATCCTGAGAGGTGGAAGCGGGCGGTTGTGGCTGTTATTCCTAAACCAAATAAGCCAGACTATAGTGTGGTGGGGGCCTATAGGCCTATCTCCCTTCTAAATACTATGGGTAAGGTGAACGAGAGTATTGTTGCACAGAGACTACACCTGTTAGGGGAGGAGAAGGGCAAGCTACACCCTAATCAATATGGTGGTCGGAGGGGCAGGTCGGCAGAGTTGTCAGTAGCGTTTACTATACAAGATATGATAGAGGAGGTACGCGACAGGCAGGAGGTTATGCTTCTTGCGATTGATGTTAAGGGGGCTTTTACCAATGTCTCACGTGGAGCCTTAGTTGATACCATGCTTCGTTTAAATTATCCAACATATATCGCTCGTTGGGTCAAGGACTTCATGAGTGGCCGTGAAGCTAGTTTACGGTTTGATGGGACTCAGGGGCCTTGGGCAGCAGTTGATACCGGTATTCCACAGGGGAGTCCATGCTCTCCAGCTCTGTTTAACATCTATTTGGCCCCACTATTATATTTGCTGCACAGAAAGTTTAGGCAATGGAGAGTCCGCATAATGAGCTTCATTGACGATGTGATCATAAGGATAAGTGGTCAGACCCAAGCTGCGAATGCCGCTACTGCAGAGGAGTTGCTTACCGTGGCACAGGATTGGGGTGATTCTAATAGCCTCTTTTGGGAATGGAGCAAGTCGGAGCTTCTATGCATAGGTGGGAGTCCTGCAAGGGTGAAGTTGCCAAATGGTCAAGTGGTTCGGTCATCAAAGGACATCCGAGTTCTGGGTGTCTGGATTGACAGTAACCTTGATTTCCGATCTCATATCAGGAGGAAGCTTGCTGCCTTGAGAGTTAGTGGCGGACTTCTTACAAGATTGTGTGTGGGTAGGGGAATGGGAGTAGGGTCTGCCTGCTTACTTTATTTAGCCTGCTCCAGGTCAAGCTTTGAGTTTGAGTCGAGTGCATGGTGGCAGGGTCAAAGGACACTGACAGAACAAGTGGATACGGTGAATATGCAACATTTACGGAGGATTGGGGGGATGTTCCGGAGTACTCCAGGGCAGGCAGTTCTCATTGAAACTCAAGTTGCCCCTACGCAGGTACGGTTACAGGAGCGTACATGTCAGCAGGCAATTTCGGCAGTAGCGGGAGCCAAGGGCCATGACTTTCATCATATAGTAGGCCGAAAGAGGCTACCCGTTGGTGATAGGGACCTGGCCTATAGGGTGGGAAGGAGAAGGAAAGGCCTGGAACAGCGTGTTACCCCTGCTGAGATGATGTCCCAAAGTCTGCGTGCGCTGGCCGGGGCAAGTGCTCAGAGGATTGAGCTGGTTAGTTGTAGAAGGAGAGTGGATGGGATATGTCCTAGGGTTATGGCTAGAGGATTAGGGAAGGAGGGGGGTGGAAGTGGTATAGAAGACTTGTGGGTATGGCAGGAGAAGACAGATGAGGTGTTAGTCTTTACAGATAGGTCCATGATTGGAGGATGGGTTGGAGCTGGGTGGTGGAGGAGGGATAATGGGGGTGTTGAGTATGGTGCGAGAATTCCTTTGGGAAAAGAAATGGAGGTCTATGATAGTGAGCTTGTGGGCATTGAGGCTGGGATACGAAATGGATTGTTGATGGCAGTTCAGGAAGGCAGGAAGCAAATCTTAGTCCTGTCCGATAATCAGGCAGCTGTACAGCGAATGGGCCGAAGGGAGGCATCATCAGGAGAAGCAGTTGTTCAACGTGTATGGGCACTTGTCGCAAGGGCAGAGAGACATGGTATTACTGTAACAGTTGGTTGGGTGAAGGGTCATTGTGGGGTGGAGGGAAACGAGCAGGCGGATAGGCTTGCAAAGGCAGGAGCGCAGATGGCACGTGGTGGACGCCATGCTTACACCTCAATAGCTTATCTACGATGGCGCACGCGTGAGTTCTGTGGACAGCTATGGAGCAAACACTATCATAGGGCAGTGGCAGGTAAAGGCAAGAGTTATGGTGGGACTCCGAGTAAGAGGTGGAATGTCGTTTTTGAGCGCAAAGATCGTGGGGCACGCACACTGCTGAGCAGGCTTAGGACGGGTCATAATGATTGTGGGCATTACCTTCACCGTATTGGGAAGATCGCTTCTCCTGCATGCTTTTGTGGTTCCTCTAGTCAGACTGTTAGACATGTTCTTCTGGATTGCCGCCTATTATCAGCTCAGTGAAAGAGGGCTAAGGACTGGTTGGGAATGGGAGCACTATCAATGGCCAAGCTCTTGTGGTCTCAGAGGGGAAAGGATGCATCACTCAAGCTCTGGCGGGCATTTCAGGAGATGAAAAGAAATCACAGTTATTGAGCACTGGGGATGTGAGTGGCAGCCTGAGTCATACGGGTAGGGGGGGGCACATGAATTGGCATAAGAAATGGCCCACAGGGTGGGCCAAGAGGTGCGGGCAGAATCTGTTACTTTAATAGTAGGTATGGATGTGGGGTTGGTAGTCGTTTTGTTACATAGGCAGCCTCAGGTTGTGCCATAGCCATGTGGCTAGATGCATAAATGAATAAAACAAAAAAAAAAAAAAAAAAAAAACAATCTCGCCATTGCGAGGGGCGCATATAGCGATCGCACAATCCCCAGACTCCCTATCACAATATGGCGTTTGCCGTTCAGGCTTCGGCGACCAGTAGCCACACAAATATAATCTTTGTACAGCTGCCCATTGTTCTCAAGCAACCAGGCTGGTCTGCCGATGGCCTAAAGATAAACAGTCCTGCCAGGCCAAGTCAAAATAAAACCGACCT